GCCCCCACATCCTCAGGAGAAGCTGTCGCTAGTCATCACACCATCCATCATGGGTCCCATCTCCTGCACCAAAGCTGTCGCTGGCCCACATCCTCCTCTCATCGCTCCAGCGGCACAGTCAACCTCGCCATGCCAGGTAAACACACATTGCCTCTACCATAATCATCCCCTATCAATCCTTCCTCCTTCGCTCATTGTCCCCCATTCCCCTCCACTCGTTCTCGCCCACCTTTCTCCTCATGTGCCTGCGAATACAACTATGCACCTCATAGTTTTCTCCCCTCTTTGTTTCCTACCCTTGCATCTCCTCTCCTTACTAGGGGGCGATCTTGCCCTAGACGTGGATTTGGAGTTTAAGGGAGCAGCCACCATGACAATAGAGACCAGCATTGACATGCGAGAAACGCAGTTCCTCAAAATGTGGGAGGAACGGGACCTTTCCCGGGCAGAAAAAGAGTCTGAGAGGAGGGCGGAGTATTCTGGGCAGGTGGAAAACACTCCGTTGGCTGCAGGCTCGGAACCGGCTTCTTCTGACGGGTCGGCGGGAGGTTCGGCAGGTGCAGGAGGAGGCTCGGATGGAGCAGGTTCGGTCGGACCTGGAGCCGGACCTGAGCGGCTGGGCCGGCGAGGGTCGGGCTTGGGGGAGGCTCTGATGAGTGACGAGACTGCTGCTGCTCTGGTGGGGGATATGGAGGTGGCTGAAGATGTGACTATAGAGGGCGCTGCTACAGCCCCAGCTACCCCTGCCAAGAGCACCACGCCAACCAAGGCAGGCAGGAAGAGGAATATCATTCGAGGAGTGCGGGGCATGGTCAGCAACATGGCCAACAGCCTCTCCCAGGTAAGCTTCTTTCTTATCAGTTGAACCTTCCCCAGGTAGGCGTTCAATGTGCATTTGCACTTTGCATTCGAGGGGTACGAGGCATGGTCAGCAACATGGCCAACAGCCTCTCCCAGGTAAGCTTCTTTCTTATCAGTTGAGCCTTCCCCAGGTAGGCGTTCAATGTGCATTTGCACTTTGCATTCGAGGGGTACGAGGCATGGTCAGCAACATGGCCAACAGCCTCTCCCGTGTAAGCCTCCCCCAGGTAAGCCTCCCCCAGGTAAGCCTCCCAACAACCAGGTCCTCTTACTCTCTCCTTCAATTTTCAACATCACATCCGTTAAAGGAACAATGCTCTGGATACCCTTCCCCTTGTTCTACCCCTCCCGTCCCCTCACCCCCTCTTCCTCCCCACCCCTCCAACCAGGTCCCCCTCACTCTCTCCTTCAATATCACATCTGTTAAAGGAACACTGCGCATCCGGGTACCCGCCCCTCCTTCCGACTGTCTCTGGATGTCGTTCGTTGAGATGCCCGAGATCGAGATGCAATCCATGCCGTCCATTGGCGATCTCAAGCTCAAGCGCTACCCCATGGCCATGCTCCTGATCGAAAAGCTCAAGGTGGGAGGGTGGGTGGGAGGGAGGGTGGGTGGGGATGGCTTGCTCTCACGGGGAGTTCGTTTGTTTGTGTGACGTACGTAACTGGGTGGGTGGGTGGGTGGGTGCGAAGCTCAAGCGCTACCCAATGGCCACGCTCCTGATCGAAAAGCTCAAGGTGGGTGGGTGGCTGTTGGAACAATTTGTCTGTAAAGCACTACATTATGCCCACATCTCCATGTCTCCATGTCTCCACATATCCCCTCCTCTTATGGCGTCCATATCCCCATCAGGCACTGATCAAGTGCTCTCTGGTGCATCCCAGTTGTGTGGACGCAAAGAAAACTCCACCATGGAGCCCCCAAATAACAAATCAGAAGCCAGAAGCCAAACCTGAAGAATTGAATCCCCCCCTTCCTTCCCCTTCTTACCCTTTCCACCCCCATCAGGCACTGATCAAGCGCTCTCTGGTGCAGCCCAGCTGTGTGGATGCCAAGCTCCGCTTCATGCTCTCAGACCCGCACGACTGGTTACCGCGTCAACCCTGCATGTTACCCTGGCGCCCCCCTGTCGACGCTGCTGTCAACCCCCCTCCCTCCACCCTCCCCACTTCCTCCTCGTTCTTCACTCCCTCGTCGTCCCAAACCTCTCTCTCCGGGCTGGCCCAGGCCTCCGCCGGCTCGGACAGCCGAGGCTCGGATGCCCGAGGCTATACGGTGAAAGGCTCGGGAGGAGGTTTGGACAGGGAAGGGAGGGATGGGGAAGGCTCGGGTGCAGGTATTGGCGATTCTGGTGGATTAGCACTACCAGTGGCGGTGGTGGTGTAGCTGGTGCTGCCGGTGGTGGTGTGCTGCTGGTGGGTCGGCTGGGAGTGCGAAGATAGGTCGGGATGGCACGAGAGGGTCTGTGAGGGGGCTGGTGGGCGGGATAATGACGAGAAGGCAAGGGGTAGTCACAAGCAGCCCTGCACTCGATCTAGTCGCAAGGCGGACTGGCAGCAACCAGAGTCTTAGCTCTGGCGCCGTTGCTACTGCTGCTGCTGTTGGGCCACCTAAATCGCCTATCAGGGGTGCCGCTGGTGGTGCTGCTGGGTTGGGAGGTAGGCAAAGAGGAGCAGGAGGGGCTGGGGAGTTGGGAGGAGGGGGAGGAGGGTCAGCAGCAGGAGGAGGGAAAGCAGCAGCATTGCTGGTGTCGGGGGGGGAAAGAAGCAACAGTGATTCAGCTCTGGTCCCTAACGTTTGCCCCTCTTCTCCTCTCAGAAGACTTTCGCCGTTCCATCTTGGTTTGAAGGAGCATGAGCCACAGCAGCAGCAGCAGCAGCAGCAACAACAACAGCAGGACACCAGTTTCTCTTCGTCTAACTCACAATCCATACCAGCAGCAACAGCTGCCAGCAACACCAGCGTCCCTTCCCCCTCTTTCTCTGCCTCCTCACCCCCGGTACCTCCACCCCTTCCTCCTCTACAACCTTCTCACCACTCTCCACTCCTGCGCTTGCCTCTTCCACCTCAACAGCTCGCCACCTCCTCTCAGCAGCCAAGTCACACTTGAAAAGCGCAGCTTCTGCAATCAAACCCTCCTCTTCCACTCCCTCCTCTTCGTTTACCTCTGCAGCCTTCTTTTCCTCTTCAGGCGAGTTTGGTAAAGCCAGAGAAGGCTACACTGCTGCCACTACCACTGCCTCTGCAGCCTTCCTGTCCTCTTCAGGCGAGTTCGGTAAAGCCAGTGCAGCCAGTGAAGGTTACACTGCTGTTGCCACTGCCGCCACTTCTGCTGTCCGGAATTCTGCTGCTGAGGGTACGGGAACAGCGATGATGGCAGCAGCAGCAACATTTTTGGGCGGTGCTGCTGCCACTGCTGCTGCTGGCGCTGCTGCCATTGGTTCAGTTGCCGGTGGCACTACTTCTGCTGCTACCGCCGTAGGTTCGGTTGCTGTTGGCTCTTGTGCTGGTGCTGCTGGTATGGCCGCAGGTTCGGAGGCAGGCTCGGCAGAGGTACCTGTTCATCAACCTGCCTCGTCACCACCGGTGCTCCGTCTCCCATCATCCAGCTCTTCACCCAACATTGCTGAGGCACAGCCACAGCTCCAACCAGCACCTGTCTCGTCCTCGTTATTGTCCGATCCGCTATTTTTCGACAAGCAGCAGGGAAGCAACGAAAGCGCAGGTTCCCGCGCGGCTGCCATTGCTGGTATGAGTGGCGGTGGTGGCAGCACAGGTGGTGGGGGTGGTGTGGTGGGGCTGGGTGGGGGCTTGGGGGTGGGCTTGGGGGTGGGGCGAATGAGAGCGAGCATGGCTGGAGAGCTCTTTGAAGGGCTGAGACTATCCAAAGCATCAAGGATGGCTGCACGGGAGAGAAGGAGGGCTGGAAGGGACCGCGGAGGAGGAGGACGGGGAGGAGGGGTTGGTGGTAGTGGGGATGTGGATGGGGAGGTAGGTTCAGCGGACGAGGGTTCGTCGCAGCAGCAGCCAGTACGAGGGTTTGAGGCGTTTAAGCAGAGTCTGGGGGTGCGTGGGAGCGAATGGTTGGATAGGGGGAGGGAGAAGGATAAGGATCGGGAGAGGTGGGCCATGGCAGCGATTGCGAGGGTGGCTGCAATGAGGAAGAAAGCAAGGGGGAGCGCGAGGGGGAGCTGGGATGGGTCGGAGTTTGGGGGTATGGGGGATGGGGAAGATGCAGGGCTGGATGGTTTGGACGGTTTGGATGGGTTGGATGCAGTGGACGGGCTTGATCGTGATGCCTCTGCTGCTGCTGCTGGTGGTTCTGGGGTACCAGGGTCGATGAGGGAAGATGCTAGCTTTGGGCTGTTCTCTGGGAGATCTGCTCTGATGATGGTGGGAGGGGGATTGGGAGGAGGAGCGGGAGGAGGGGTGGGGGGATTCAGGGGTGTTGCTGGGGGGGCGGCGGGTGGAGGACTGGTTGGGGGACTGAGGAGAATGGGAAGGAGCAAGAGTGGGAAGGGCAGGGAAGAGGAGGGCACAGGAACAAGCCAGGGAGTGGGTTCGAGGGAGGAACAGGAGGGGGTGGGGACGGAGGGGGAGGAAGGGGAGGAAGTGTCGGAAGGCTGGGCTGATGCGAGAAGCTTCACGGTGCCGATAGTGAGAGCGAAGAGCTGGGAAGTGGGGAATCCGGAGGTGATGCGGACCCAGCTGTCATCTCGCAGTGTTCGAGGCGAGGCAGGGTTGGCAGTGTTGGATGGGGATGGTGTGGGATCGACGGCTAGAAATGATTCGGAACGAACGGTTTCTTCTGGTACAATCATAACAGCTGAGCACACAGCATCACCAGGTGTTACAGCCAGCACTGCAGGAAATGCTACTTCTGGGGGTGTCATCTCAGTAGTAGCGACCAGTGGGGTTAGACGAGGGAGTGGGGGAGCAGCAGATGCGGCGGCGGCAGCTTTAGTGGTTCGGCAGCAAGAAGGCCCCGGGTCTGGTGGCGAGGGTGGGGAGAGTGGGGAGGAGAGAGAGGGCAAGTGGGGGGATAGGATGGCTAGGGCAAAGGAGTTTGTGGGGAGGATAGGGAATAGGGAGGCGAGGGAGAGGCTTGAGGATAAGGCTAAGAAGGTGTTGGGATTCTTGCACCGAGGGGAGAAAGCGGAACAGTGAAAAGAGGGATGAGTGCATGTGCCGTCGCGGATGTATGTGATATGTAACAGGAAAATCAATGTGATTTTGTATGTTACCTAGTTTCAAGAAACTGTTTGAATTCTGTTTTCTTTTGAAGGGTGTTTTTCAGTGTTTGATAGCTGGTGACCAGGAGCTGCTTCGCTGACGGTGCTTGGGTCTACGAACTTCGCGAATGATCGGCTGTTTCTGATGCCCTCCCGCCTGCAACTCGATGCCCTCCCGCTGCGAAAGCCTGGTCTTCTGTTCCTCAGTGGCGACGAACCGCATTTGTGTCAGCACTTCGCCAACATTTGAATATTTCCATCACGACACATGATGCCTGGGCCACTTCACGCGGTCCTGTCCCCTCCGCTCCACAGTCACACACACCTTCCGGTCAGGAAGGCAGCTTATGATCCATCCGATCGTATTAACAACTCATCTGGACCGTCCGTTTGTTCGTTTCCAGTCCGTCGACTGAAATTGCTCGGATCGCATCGCAGGCACAGGCAGGCAATCTCGAAGCACCTCGATTATTTCGCCGTGCCTTGGAAATTGCGATTGCGAGCTTCGGTCTGTGCAGGGTTGAGTATCTGCTGGTCGCGTGTTTCTCAGCGAACCCACACGGCTGTTGCTAGTTTCTCCCAACCCACACGTTGCTCACAAGTATATGCGAAACTTACAATTGTCTCGTCAAGACGATTACAATTATATGCGCTAGTTTGTTACACACGCGGCTGTTGCTAGCCAACGTAGCGTAGCCTGTGGTCTAGCCGTGATTGGGTGATAAAGGTCGCATCTGTGCTACGCTAATCACCTCCGTACTTACAAATAAGCAAGCCGTAGCTGTACCTTTTACTTACCGCGCCCCGAACGCCAATATCTCTTTGGCATCGACTAATTCTCTGAGAGGCACTACGTTTCGCCAATAATAATTACCGTGGGCGTTTTCGTTACTCTAAGCTTAGTAATTTCTATTATTCTTTCGTACTTCGAGCCTTCACGACCCCAACAAGAGCTGTTATTCGTTACAAACTCGATATTGGCAGACTTAACGTTGTATGTACCGAATTGTCGGAGTTAGTCGGTCGAGAAGGCAAAACGACGAGATGCTGGTAAGCCTACTAGACACCGATACCTATTATAAGGTACTGGAGTGGTTCGAGTGTTACTCTGGTTTTTTTCTATCAGTCAAATTGACTTTCTTCGTGTGCAAGTGAGGTGGGAATCTGAATAAACGCGGTAATTAAATTGAATGTTTTTTACGTCAGGATGGTTCCTTGTACTTGTCTGCAACATATGCGGTGGAAGTATGCACTTTAACTACAATAACGTTGCGATCGCTATTACATGTGAAAGGCTCGTTACGATCTCATTGCACACTTCTGTTAGCCGCTTCTGGCGACAGAATGGGAGTGGTTATGGTCTTTCAGGCATGAAAACGCTTGCAATGCGCATTGCAAGCGCAAGAAAACTGTCGCAAAAAATAAGGAGAACGTGATCCATAGCTGTTCAAAAAAATCGATAATACATGAACCACACCCTTGGGAGCTCCGCCGGCATTCTCAAGGCGCAGGTTGAGAGGTTCTCTTCCGCTCTCTTTCACTCTCTCTGTTGCTTCCTCCAACGTTTCCCGTTCCTGCTCCACCCCTTTCCCCTCACCCGCTTCCGATCCTCCTCCTTTCGTGTTTCCGCCGCCTTCCTTTATTTCGTGACAATAATCCCGACAGTTTCGAGCGGCAAAGACGGTGGTATGCTGCACTCTCGGGCCCATCGTATGGGGATTGCTCTCGCTGCTCTTCCTCCTCCTCGTCGCCCTTGGAATCACGGCGCTCGTGCTCTACTTCGTGTACAAACCGCAGGTGCGTGTTAGCCAGTCTCGTGTGACTCGATTGCGGCGCTCGTGCTCTACTTCGTGTACAAACCGCAGGTTCGTGTGACTCCCGTGTGACCACTCCCGTGTGAGTCGAGTGTTGCAACGTCTGTCTCAGTACCCCAGTTGTGCGTGAGTCCTGTGTGGCCATCCTTGTGTGAGTTAATTTCTTGTTACTTTCGTGTGAGATCACTGCGCTCGTGCTCTACTTCGTGTACAAACCGCAAAGTCTGTTGCCTGATCTCTTTGCTAATTCTCTAACGCCAATTCCCATATGTTTGTCGTTGGTGCAGTGATTGCCGATCATATGTTTGTCTCTGCCCTATCTTGCTGCTGAACTAAAATGTAGCATGTTTTTCTCTGCCTCCCTTCCCTCCCTCCAGCTACCAGAGTGCGACGTTCAGAACGTAACAGTAAACAGGCTCAACGTCACTCGCCTGACTTCGTTTCCCTTCAACGAAACGGCCTACGCAGCTCTAGCCACCATGAGCGCCGCCGACAGAGCAGCCGCATTGGGAGTCCCAGGCAACTACAGCGCCAACTCAACTGACCCATCCTCGTCATCAGCAAATCCGTTATTAGCATCTCCACTAGATGCTCTCGGGAATGCTACTGTGCCGCCGAGGCTCGGCCTGAATGCTGACGTGGGATTCACGTTGGAGACGCGGAATCCGAACAAGGTCGCGATTGACTATAAATACGTCAACGTGTCGATTATCTACAGAGGCGTCACTGTGGGAAACACGTCGGTAAGTCCTATGCCATGCTCTTTCTTTCTCCTGAACTCCCAAACTTTCGCCACAACGCGTCTGCCAGTTTCTTGCCACTTCAAAGAAATAGTTGGTTTAACCATTTTCTCTCTGTTGACTCCCCATACGGGCATTGCCTACGTCAAGAGATAGTTGTTTTAACCTTACAAAACATTCCTTGCCTACGTCTGCTTCTTAACCGCTTCTTAGTCTCTCTGTTGACTTCCCATACGGGCATCCGGGGTCTTTCCGCTTCTTATACTTCTGGATTTCGATACTAGCTCGCAACGCTCTTTCCTGATTGCCCCCCAACTACTGCAGATTCCACCATTCACGCAGCAGGCGCAGACCAACACGAGTGTGCCAGCAGAGCTCCTAGTACTAGACTTCCCGCTCGATATAGTCACGGGGCCTGTCATGCTGGCGGATTTGAACGCTGGAAACGTTCCCCTACAGGTACTGCTCCTCTACATGTTGTGTTCCCCTACAGGTACTGCTCCTCTACATGTGTTCCCCTACAGGTACTGCTCCTCTACATGTTGTGTTCCCCTACAGGTACTGCTCCTCTACATGTTGTGTTCCTTTGCACGCAATCTTCCTCTAGAGTTCCTTTTCAGGTTGTTCTCCTCTCTGCATCCTTTATGGCATCCGCTCGTTTGGCTTTCCCTTGTTTTGAGTCGACTCAAAAGAAACATCTGCACTTTTGCCTTCCCCTTGTGAGCAAGAGACATTTTTTTTAGAATTCTCAGGAACCTCTGTGTCCTGTTATCCCCATGTCACAGTTGCTGCTTTAACTTGGGAGAGGAGGTTCGCCATAGAACTGAGACGCCGCAGTTACGTCTCACAGATATGTTTTCAGTTATTAGCACTTCAGAACTTGAGATGTCTCTCTGCTCCCCTGTCCCCATGGCACAGTTGCTGCTTCAACTAGGGGCAAGGATCAACATTTTAGGGGTGGCATCTCCGTTTGCTCTGGTGAGTGCGCATGCCCCGTCCCCTTCTCTTCCTTGTAATCCGGGTGAGTTGCATCTCTGGCCATTCCTCACCCCTCCCCCCTTACACCGTGTATATACAGCCTTCAATTTCTCTAAAAACCCCTCCTTTTTCTATGGCGCCCCTTTTACTCATTACTGTTGATCCCTCCGCGTGTTCCCTCCCACGCCGTTTTGCACCAGGTCGGTTTGTTGTGCGACGTCACAGCTGATCCAATAACGAGGACAGTGAAAAGCACAAGTTGCTCATTACAAAACGTAGGGTTCTCATGAGCTAATGGGAAAGAGTTGCATATACGGTACTCATGGACAATAGAATGTTATTTGTTTATGTGAAATGAACGGTACGTGTAATCCAATACATAAGGTGGGCGTGTACTCAATTAAAATGTACGGTAGTGTCAAAGCATCTGATCCCAGCAAGGCTTGTTGCTTGTGTTAGGGTGTGTCACATCGCCAAACTTACAATTTTCGGGAAAATCCGTCGGGCCGTTTTTGGAAAAAGTAACCAGAAAACGATGGTCGCTGAATTTAGGCGAGACTCGCGAATTTCGGTAAAAAGTAGCGAATTTGAAGGCCGTTTGAAAGGGCCGAGACCGGGTCCACTCGAAAACGGCCACGAATCTGTCGCGCACTGCTCATGGCGACAGAACGTACGACCCCCAACTGTAAGGAAAATCCCTTTTCCTTACTTCGCGTCCCTGCTCAGCGCGTACACCACTGTTCCCGCCAACAGCACCCCACAATAATCCGTTACCACTCGCGACATTCGCCTCGAACCCATTCCCGCCACTGTTCACGATGCGACCCAACCTCACGGTTCGGTTGGTAACCCGAGCTCCGGACCTCCGCCTCGACATTCCCCAACCTCGGTACCAGGCCCGTCGCGCGCCCTACTTTCCCACACGTTACCGTTACCACTGTAGCTTCGCTATATATTCTTCGCACAATCCTTCGCTCATTGTATTCTTGCCTTGATAGTGCAAACCTCGCTCGCTCACTCAAATTGCACTCGTAACACCTGGTTATCAGAGCCTACGATCTTTTCTCGGACCGCACCCACACCTTCGCTTCCCCACTATCTCAATTTTTTGGGGGGGGGTAGACGTCTCTCAGCGACCAAGCACCGCCGCTCGTAGTGCTCTCTCGTAAGCACGCACGGCCACGACAGAGGCTCTCGCTGAGCTTGCCAGATACCCCCGCCATGGCTGAAATCACTCTCGCGACACTGACGCAAGCACAGCTCGACCGTCTTGTACGCCAACTCGAAGATTCGGCCCTCGAAATCGCCACACTCACGGCGGAACGCGATTCCGCTCGCCAGCAATCGACAGTGAATGTGCCAGCACCAACAAATGCACCTGCACAATCCGAGGAGCCGATCAT